CCTGGAGCCCCTCCTGCTGCACTGGCCTGGGGGGCTGCAGGGCTGCTCCTCTCACATCCTCTCACCTCTCTCTTCCTGGCTACTGTTCCACAGCAGGTTTTTTTCCCCCTTCTTAAATATGTGATCTCAGAGGCACTACCACCATCACTGATGGTCTCGGCCTTGGCCAGCAGCAGGTCCCTCTTGGAGCCGGCTGGAACTGACTCTGTCAGACATGGGGGAAGCTTCTGGCAGCTTCTCACAGAAGCCACCCCTGTATCCCCCCACGCTACCAAAGCCCTGCCTGCCAAGCAAACCCAATACAGATTTCCAACAACACTTTCATAACAGTAATGAGACAAGTGCCTGACTATGTTTTACTTGGATTGAAATTCCACCTGAGAAGCACCATCCTCACACCTGAAAAATACATGGCTACCAGAAGGAACAACTTCTAGTGAGACTGTCACGGTCTGTAGTAAACAACTAATAGTATTCCAGATGACGTTTTAAATGCTTTGGATAAAAATGTCTTATCAGCAATTATTTGCCTCCAATTTGTTGATGACTTACGAAACATGCATATTATTTTTGGCAGCGGTCAACACCACTTCTTTCAGACACTCAGTCCCACACTGATCACACGGAGTAATATACTAGTTTGGTCATGCAAGCCTTTCTACTAGGTTGATTTTTACTCATACGTAAGCAGTTTCCATTTCTCTTGCTTATTATCTAGGCAATTGTATAAAACTGCTTTATTTTCCCGCTCTTCTCTTTCCTCGGTTTTATGAGTAGCAGGATAATACCCCAGCTACAAATACCTTTTCTAAATCTAACAGTAATAAGGCTTTTAGTAATTATCAGAAATTGAGGGAGTTGCTCCTCAGAGTTACTGGTTTGGGTCCTGTACACAACAAAATAATATGCAATGAGAATTTGTGAAGTTCTTCTTGCAATCTGCTTTAGAGTAAGATTTAATCTTTCTAGAGAATTTGCAGGTTTGTGCACAACCACATTGTCGTTGCCAAAAATACATACTTTAAAACTTATTTTAAAGCACTGAGGCCCCCACAGAAAGGGAGAAGGAACTAATCTAAATGGAAAACATCTGCACATTTCAAAAAACATGTTCAGCATAATTATTATTTATATCTGCTCAAGTTATGAGAGTGATTTCTATTGTGTCTTATTATGGAAAATCCTGGCTAGAGTAAGAAAATATAGCATAAAAATACAGTTATTTGTCCAAGAGGTTTAGATTTTAAGATAAGGAATTGCAGTGCAATTCCACAGCAGCTTGACCTAATATAACCAGCTTAGCCAGCAAAATGTGATCTCTTTTTGGTTGTTTCACTTCTCTGTGGTGGCTCACCACCTGGTCACCCAAACACCAGCATTAGGGAGGCAACAGGGATGTGCGGCTGGGGGAGAGGGAAGGTGTTAGAGGGAAGAAATTAAGGGAGCTGGTGCCCCAAGATGCCTGACTGGTGAAAGTAGCCAGGGAACAGAACCCAAGCTCCAATTAATGAATATCACCAGGCCCCTGTAGTCCCATCAGACAAGGAGTCCCACCTGTTCATAATCTTACAGCAGAATTCAGAGGTGTAATTCCCAGTTAAAGCTGTTAGATAAATGCTTAAACATCTGAGCAACCAGTCCCCACTGGAAAAAGCCACCAAAAATTTATGTTTTGAAGTGTAGTCTAGCCCGACCCTTGAAAGAGCAATTGTGCTGCCTCTAGAGTTGACCATAACACAACCATGATTCCCAGCCTTGCCTTCTCTCATACTGCTGAATTCTCACCACCACTGCAAAAAACCAGAGGAGCATAAACAACACTGATCCATAATAAGCTAATATAATTCCTTGCATCTGCTACAGCACTGAAAAAAGAAACAAAAAACCTTTTTACCCAACTTCCCATTGATTCAAATTTAGTTTAAGGTCTCATGTACCAATAAATTTAGCTGGGGATTTTAGACTGTTGGGCAGTACATGCATGTCTGAGCTTGATACACACCTAGGCAGGAACAAAAAGCACCCCGATGGAAGTGGTCCTGTCATACACTGCTAACCACCGTGCAGCCTGGGGACTATGACACGCTCAGCCTCTCAGTGCACTCTACAACTAAACTGAACTAGTTCCCAATGGTCCTAAAATAAGAAGCTGTATTCCAAAGTGCAACAACAAAAGGCATCCAGAGCATCAAAAAACTCCAGCTCACATAACTTTTATGCATCTTGTAATACTTTAGGTTTGCCACTCTTTCAGATGCATTGAACTCATTGTTTAGTCACAAGAACAACTATGTGAAACTTGAGTTACTGGTATGGGTATGCTTTTTTTTGCTATTTGTGTGTCTATATATATGTTTGATATATTTTCAAGAAAATAATACACTGTGAAAAATTAAAAACGACAATGGAACTCAGGCATAAATGCAAAATGTAAAGACTACTGCAGTGTCAGAAGTAGCTGATGCAATTCATTGTATAGAAACATTCACTAATAGATTAGATAAGTGGCTCAGCTGCTCAAATGAGGAACGAAAACATTTTATAGCTAATGAGACTTGTATGTGATTTGATATGGCTATGTGCTACAGTGTTCAGATACATCTTACAAGTACGCCTGTCCACTTTCAGAAGGGGCTTCCTGAGGGATAGAGAGAGGGGGTAGCAGGCTATTTCTCAGTTCAGTAATGCTTTCATGATGTATTGCCTAAATTATCCCAGTGGGGCAGGGGTGGAGGTGTGTGTATAAAGCTGAAGATGCACACACCCAACCCAACAATCTAGTACTGGTACAGGAATGCTTCATCTAGCTATAATACACATAAATCTCTGATACATTTACCATGCATAAAGTTTAACAATTGCATCATTTGTAGTATAACTTTTGTTTACTTCTGCTAGAGCATAACGATATTGCTGGTGATATTTAATTTGACATCATTCAGAGTCACTAATTCAAGTATTCTTGCAGAAAAATAAGAAGGAAGAACAGGGGCCAAGTAATTAATTAGTAATCCTAGGAGCCCTGGAAATAATAAAGCCTATTTTCAAAAACTTTAAATCTCTGCACCTCACACAAGTGGGAAGCCAGGTTAAAGAGGTTAAAGTCCACTTACTTCAAGCCCCAGGACCCCATTTCTGGAAAATTCATAGCATTACAGTGCTTTCTATAGCTAAAGTCAATGTAGAACTGAAGTATGTGGACATGCATTCCCAGCACAGATCAGGCTATAGCTTCAAGCTGTTCACCAAAATGAGGGGCACAGTCAGAATTCACATCTGAAATCCCTGCAGAGGAATTCAGCAGTAGAAGTGGAGAAACAATGCTGCCTTAAATTGTTTTTTTAACTCTATCATCCCCCTCTTCTTGAGATTTGATTTCCTATACCTCTTTTTAGCACGTACAATATATGCAGCACATTTCTACAGACAACAGCATCTTTAATTACTTGAGCTTTACAAAGTAGTCTACACTGTGCATTAGGGTGAGTATATCTACACTGTGTATTGCGATGAGACCTTTTCCGCAGGACTTTTTAGTTTGCACATAATCAAAGCCAGTATCATAACAAAGAAAAACACCTTTTTACAATTCAACTTTTATATAGTTCCCTTCAAACAGCTAATACTCACAACACCTCAGAAAAGGATTTACCTCATTATCTGTTCCCACATCCAACATCACTGGTAGACACTCGTGAGGTTTTACTCCTCCACATGCCGTATAAAGTGCCAGTTTACCAACTGGAATGCCCATTCCATAACAGCCAAGGTCTCCAAGCCCAAGAATGCGTTCTCCGTCTGTCACCACAATAGCCTGGAGGAAAAAATTAAAAAGCACTGTAAAAATCACTTCTTTGCTTGTATTTACTAAATATTACATTATCTTCTTACCATAATTTTCTAAGTTTCATGTAAAAATTCTAACAGGTACCAACAAATCGATAGTACAACAAAGGCCCAGGATTGTTTTATTGTATTTCACTGTGGTTTTGTTACACTATTTTAGACTCTTGCTTCACTATAAATGGGACTTTCATATAAAATTTTTAAGAATACACAAGAGAGGTATTTAGCATTACATTACAAGGGAACTGGCATTGTTCTCTCTTACATTTTTCTGTCAACAGTATGAAAACAGAATAGGAGGGGAAAGGAAGTTATCCACAAAAAAAAGAAGAACCCCAGTCGGCCCCAGCCACTCCTGCTGGCCTTTGACAGGGCTGTCTACAGCCACCTCGTTCTTACCCTTCAAAGATGTATTTCTTCTTCCCTTGAGCAAATAACACACTCCATCATACTTACACATATGAAGAAGTATGTGTTTTCATTGATAGAAATACAGGAACTCGGTAAACCCCACAAAACTGTCTGCACTAAAAAGGAAGCTTTTTCATAGTAAAGAACAGAAGCGCTCACAATGGCAAGCAGCAGACAACACAATGATTTCCTTGTCATACGCTGTGACAAGCCATTTTAGCTGGAAATTTAGTACTTTTTCTGAGAGAACTCATCAGGTAACATATGTGGAGAACTATCAACCCAAACAGTAGAATGGGTTGCCAAAAGATCTTGTGGAGTCTCTACCCTTGAAGATACTCAAAACTCACAGGTTGGACATGGCCCTGAGTAACCTGTCCTGGCTGACCCTGCTTGAGCAGGAGGATGGACTAGATAATCTCCGGATCGACCACTCTGTGATTCCCTGAAATGCAGGAAAAGCATTCAGGGTTTGTTTGTTGTTTTTTTTAAGAATAACATTCAATGCAATTGACCAAGTAATCAGTAAAGGATGCCTAACCTAAACAAGTAAGGGTTTAAAAGGCTCAAACTTTGGCTGTAACAGCATTGTTTCTATTTCAGAAGTGAGCTAAAAAAATCACTGAAGTTTAATTGATAAAAAGCTTAACCAAGTCACCTTGGGTGCACATCAGTGTCAGTTTTGTCATGCAACTAAAACTGAACTTACCTTGATGACATTTTCTGGCCAGGATTTAAGCATTGTAGCGATGTGTCCCCGGTCGTGGATAGTAATAAAAAGACCTCTGCAAATAAAAAAAATACAGGTGATTAAAATACTTCAGTATAAATCAGTTAAATAATAAATTAATGCTATGCAAATGTGTTTATGCAAACGTGTTTCCAACATACATAGATTCAGTTCAATAGTAAGTGCTCAATTTTGTATGAATGACTAAATTAAATGTCAGAGAACATGTAACTCAGTAAAGCTTCATTGAGCAGTGAGAACCTATAGGAGTAATTTCTGAAAATTGCTAAGTTTGATTTTAAAGCTCATTGAGCACTTGATCTGTTTAAATGTTTGTTAATTGTCCCAGACCACAAAACCCGTTCGTCGTACGACAGTGATCACTAATGCCCCAGCAGTCCTAAAGTTAACAGAGAAGAATAGGCCAAAGTTTTAATCTATGAACAAAACCTGAAATAAGCCATATATTATCATGACATAAAATAATTCAAGAGCATCCAGCTATGTGTTCAGAAAACAGTCTGCCTATTCAATTAGATTAGACACCTACAAAAGTGGGAAATTATCTTCTCTATATGAAAATCTCTTTGACTAGAAAGCATGCAGCACATCCTACAGTACTAAGCATACCAAATTTTTACTTTGAAGAGTATTTGTAAATTGGTCTTTAGTTCCACCAATACAGAAGAGTATGAAACAAAATGACAGAAAAATGTAATTTTAATTTCATTTTTTATTTATTATAGAAGCAAAATCAACATAGCATCTTATCCTACTCTTCAGTATTTATTGTTCATTTATTTTACTCGATGTGCAGCTATACATCCAGGTCCACTCAGACTTAATTTAATTGCATTTCTTATCTACTTTTCTCATGTGAGATGGTGGAAAAAAATTCTCCCACTAAAGTCAATCTCTCAAAGACCATGAAGAAAACAGTGATGAAGAACATGCCAAAGACGCTTTCTTGTAATTAAACTTTGCACTAGTAAGTATAAATCCTCTGGAATTATTCTAAAGCATTTCATCCACCTATTATAAAAATTACGAAGTAAAAATTAGAGAATAGTATCGAAAAATATTTTAAATCTAAGTCTACTACATCTCTATATTCACAGAGTGGGTATATGCCCATGTGGGTCTAAATAAAACTATTAACTCAGGGAAATGCTTGTCAGATATAACTCCAAGTATTCCAAGTCAAGCAAAAAGTTTCCTGCAGTGTTAAAAAGTATATTAGTCAAGGCACCAAAATTAGTTAAAAATTTATATTTAATGTCATATGTTTATATATTTCATACATACTAGATTATATACATATTTATAGATATAAATTATCACGTGGTATATATTTTATATCAAATTTTAGATTTGATTTAATATTAAAGTGTCTTCTTCCCCTCTGATATCAAAATTATACAATTCAAAATGTTTATTATTTTGGATAAAAGGCAGTGTAAGACACATTGCAATTAAGCAAAGTATTTCTTAGTCTTAAAGTTAATGATTCAGAAACAGAAACTGCAAACTCAAGTAAATAATTAACTAAAAACTGCAGTGTTTAAAAGAAAAATATATATGCACTGTGTAAAGGAAAAAACCAATCTGGTTAGATATTTTTAACTGTTTAGATGTCATTTTTTGCATTTCCCCCTAGAACTGAGAATTCTCCGATCCTGGCATTCCCAATTATTCCCCTTCTGCTTTCATTTCCCATGCAGGAGGGTTAATATTTACAGCATCTGGCTGCAGTTGTGGTATTTACAGCCTACAAGCATTTCTATATGTGACCCAGCTACCCAAAAAAAAAGATGTCTCTAACAGTGAAACACCATAAAGAAGCAATGCAAAATACACCCTGATGCTTCCATTCTGCTGTATTGTATAGCGAGTCATTTTATAGAACACTGTGTAAACTGTTAAATCATAAACCACAGTTATCAAAGCTGCTAGCCCCAGAGACAGTCGATCGTGAGAGATCACCATGCAAAAAAAAAAATGAAGAGTGCCGGAGGAAAGCCATCTAGAGGCATCACCCCTCTCCTTCTCCCCATCCTCCAGTTTACACCAACCTAATAGATTTGTGTTAAATGAAGCAAGGCTTTGTATTGATTTTCTAAAGAGCCGGAGCCCAGCCCAGTGTGATTAAATGACCTTTTCCTTGCAAGCAAGTGAGAGAGGTCTCCATGGAATGAATTCCCCAGTAGAGGAAAATAAAGGCAGGGTGGCTGCTCCAGAAGGAATTTTGTTAGAACATTTGTAAGGACCTTTGAATAAGTATTGAAAGCGTATTTCAGAAATCTGTCCAAGCAGGATCACATTCAAACAACAATGGAAAATAGGGGCTGAAGTGTAAACAGAGTCATGTCGAAAGCATTTCACTCCCTTCCTTCTCCCCTTCACTCTATTCTTTCTGCTGATTAGTAAAACATTTCTGGACACATTGTCCTGACTGAGAAGATACCCCTGGATTTAAGGGCACAGAGACAAGAATCTTTTATTCCTTTACCTGGATCTGTTTCCCTCATCTTTCATTTCTTTAGTTAAAGCACTTTTCTCCTTTAAGGCGTCCTCTGAAAGAAGCTACACCAGGTTGCAAGAGGCAATCCAGCTTGCAATGGTGTCTGCCACAAGAACATTCAACCTAAATGACTGGAATTAAACCTGCTGGCAATTCTACCTGCAGGCAATTACCAAAAATGTAGTATTATGTATTCTTTCTTTTCTGTGAGGTCATGTATATCCAGAAAAACCATCAATTGCACCACGTTATTGCAAGTGGGATAGGGTGACACAAGCTGACAAGGCAGCCAACTATTTGGCCAGCAGCAGACATTATAGTTATTTTATGGCACAGGCATGCAAAGAATCAAGACAGGAGCAAGCTGCACAATTTAAATTGGATGAAACTATATATGTTTTTCAGTCCACAAATAAGACAGAATTATCCATTTGAGTATAATGTTAATAACAACAATGATATTTACTGTCATGTCAGTGATGCACACCCTGCTCTGCCTGATACAGAGCAAGAGACAGCCTGTGTGATGCGAGTCTGTCTGACACATTGCTTCAGGACGGGCTGCTACAGCAGATGGACAAGTAACACATTTCAGCAGGTGGAGAAAGAAGAAAGATACAGAAAAAAAACCACTTAAAGATAAGATTTTTTAAAAAAAAGATGAGGAAAAATATGCTGCTTGTTTTTCAGCATGCATCTATTCATATATCTAACAAGAAAAGCATCTTGGGGGAAGCAGTCTGAATTTCTCCTGTACACACTTTCAGAGCAGCCCAGGTTGGTAAGCTCTCTGTAAAAGCAAGTGTAGGTTTTACAACACAGTATGGTCCCTTCTATTTGAACCAATATCTCGGTTACACATACTACCTTTTCTAGCAAGGCAACAAACTGAGACCTGCTGTGGCTTAAATGGCCACTCAGCAAAATTGTGACTCAGAACTGACTTGAAGCTTGCAGCAGCAGATTAGTCTCCAAACTAACATGTTCATTTTGAACCCGGCACAATGCAGATCTACGTGGAACTTGTCTGAGCACATACGGAGAAGGGCTCATCTTCAGTCACTTTGGCCACAGTTAGACCTCAGTTCAGCACTGGTTTATACCAGCCTAGCCAAAGGGATCACCTCTACTTGTGCCAACTTCAGATAGCCAAGCGATACATAAAACTACAAGCAGAGGAATAATTACGCAAAGAAGTAATTATTCCTCCTTTCTTCTTGTGACACCACCAGGGCCCTGAAGAGTGCGAGGGAAACCACAAGAGGACATCAGGATCCACACAACAAAGCGTGAGTGATCTATTTTGGGTCACTGAGCTCCCTACGCTGTAGCAAATTTTAGCAGCTATGTGGAGGTCATTCTACATCACATAATTTGGCTCTGTTTTATTAGAACTCTGATCTAGGAGAACAAAGTAAACAGACTTAAATGGAGTATTTGTTTATTATGCTTCAATGAAAAAATGCTCCACCAGTAATGTATTTGGCTATTTTCTATTAAAGAACAGTTTAGAAAAATGTGTCATAGTAACAGAAGAAACCTTTCTTTCCTCCTCTTATAGCAGGAGGCACTCTAACTTGTCCCTGAAAAGGCCAACCTTTTTTAAATGAAAAAAAGTTCAAAATTTTCTCACAACCCTACATGTTCAAAACTGTTATTTGAATTATGAACTGTAGACAGAATTATAATAGAGGTGACTTCACTTCCTCAGGCAGCCTAGATCAACAAGCTTAAAAATAATAATAATAAAAAATCTCAGGGACCAGCCTCAGTTTATTTCTGAGCCTGGACTTTCCCAAACTCATGCACTTTGCAAGAAAGAAGTAAATGATTTCCTGAGTCCCTGCTGAAATTCCCTCCTATTTTTGTTAAAATTATAAAAAGCTGTACAATACAAACATTGTACTAGAAACTGAGCACCAATATCCCCCAAAAGAACAGTCTGCTCTTTTTTCATCAAGAAATAATAAAATTTCTCATTGTATCTGTTCAATATGGTCTCCTGTCATCATATAAAATGTACGCAAACTTTTAATTACATCTTACCTTTTCATAGTAACATTCATTCCAAGACCTCTAAGGCCTAACAAATACAACTGATGGGTTGATTTAAGAAATGCAGATGTTCACAGATTTATTTTTTTTTTACCTTTCCCTCTGTACAGGGTGAATTTCATTACTTTACAATGCACAGGTATTTCTTTCAATAAATAAAACAGTTGATGCTGAGATTGCAGCTGCTACCAACTTTCATCCTGAATTCATCAGGATTAAAGAAACCCGGGCATTATGTTTTCTACACATTGCATACTCAAACCATATTTAAACAGAAGAGTTTGTAAGAAGCGAAGACTCAATCCAAAACCAACACCAAAAATAGGATGGGAGCATTAAGAGAAGAAGCAGCGCTGTTAACACCTCTAAAAGCCTGGAGCTCTACATGAGTTAAGATATAGTTCATAAAACAGGTAAGTACTAGCAGTATATGAAAAGCAATGCAGAATAAGATATTAATCCAGAAAAGACATAAAAGT